GGGGCGCGAGGGCAGCGGGCTGCGCCAGGTGAGGGTCCGCTGGCCGAGCTGCGGTCCGGTGGGCGCCGCGCCGGGGACCCGGCGAGAGTGGGCGAGGGCGGGCGTGAGCGCGCGGGACGCTCGGAAGCAGCCCCGGCTGCAAAGTCTTTAAAAAGTTTCTCTCGCGGTGGAACCCAGTGTCAGATCTGAACAGCCAATCTCCGGCAGACGTGACGTCAGGCAGCAAATCCTAATTGGGGAAAGCGTGCGATGAGCCTGAGAAAGCGCCGCCACCCTCCGCAATCCACATGGATTGTTACTGTGCGTGGGCAAGGCAGATAAGTGCCCGTTCCCGTGTCCCCGGAAAGGACAAAAGACTCGGCAAGTCACGAAAGGGTCCTTGCCTCCAGAACGCCCCAAAGGAGTCGTTTGATATTGTTTGGAAGGCATTCCCGGGCATTTTCTTAGCGGAGTTTGCTCAGATACTTGCTGCGGGGATTGGATTAAAATACAAGATCGGGTCCTAGGAAGGACTGCTTGGGGTACGCCAATCTGTCGATCGGAAGGTGCTTAGATGGCTCTCTGGGGGACTGTAAACGCCGCGTGCCTGTTTCTCCGTCTGCAGCTTCTGGTACCCACTCCTCGTTTGGCATGTACGAGAGAGAGAGCTGGGCGGGCAGCAGGGGGCGCCCGCGTAGACCGGGAAACCCGCAAAGGAATTAACCCTAGAGGCAGCCCTGCGCTTGGTGAAAAGGCCTTTAGGATGGAAATACAGAGTTTAGGATCCAGGACAATCCCAAGCCATTTTTAGTTTTTTCTTTTTTAAGTCAGATCAGTTCCCTCGAGCCCTATCTGAAAGGAAAGAATTGCGCACTAGAGATGACCCAAAATCACAATAAGGGAGATGCGGAATGTTCCAGGGGACCCAGTCCCTGAGGGTCACAGTGCTCTTTGGGGAAAACCATGAAATAATGACGTACTGTATTGCCCCATGTATAAGACGCACCCTTTTTTGAAAAATTTGGGGTCTAAAAACTGGGTGCGTCTTATACAGTGGTTGTATGAGCGCAAAAAAAGGCGGGAAATGCTAGTAAAAAAAAAAATCTACAACCACTGTATAAAACACACCATTTTTAGACCCCAAATTTTTTGAAAAAGGGTGCGTCTTATACATGGGGCAATACGGTATTTACTGCTAGCATTTGAATTAAACAATGTCTCCAGCAGGAAGACACAATTTTATTATATGAATGCAATAGAAAATCCATGGTTATAGCAGTCTTTTTTCAAAAAAAAAAGCCATTTAACTAAGAATGACAGTTTCAAAGGCCTGGGTTGTTCTAATTCATATTTATTTGTGAGTTATCCTTTTATTTTGTGTCTGCCTGCATTGGCTAGTAGGCAATTGGTAGCAGGTGTCGATGGTTCAAGGAGAGTTAATGGAAAACAAATAAGCAGCTGAGGAAACTTAACTTTAAGTTGAGGAAACTTAATCCATTATTCTGTTTTTTTCTGTACATTGGAAAGACCTCCAGCATTTGATCTGGCAGGAGAGAACCTCCGTCCATCTGCCTGAACACCAATTCAGTTTCTCTGGGAGCCACTGTCATAAAGTAAAGAGCATTGGGCTGGAGGGAGAGGCCTGACACTCGCTAATTAGCTGGAAGACCACAGGCAGTTCACATCTCTGTGAACTTCAGCTTCCTCCTCCATAACACAAAGAAGTTGGATTAAAAATTACTTCTAGCTTTAACAATCTGTGGCTCTAAGAACACCCAGGGTCCCTGTGGATAGGATCGGTAAGGTCACTCCAGGTCAGCTTCTGAGCCAGGCCAAAGGGAACCAGCTGAGATGAATGAGGAAGGCGGGTGGGTCAAAAAGCTGCACTGAGTTCTGTCTGTAGGGAGGACACAATACAAGCTAATAAATATCCACCAACCGCCTACTCTGCTGGCAAGCATAGAGGCTAACCCTCTGCAGATACAAAGTATCACAAAGCACAACACCTTTGTCCTATCTGGTTAGGAAGACAATATAAATAAATGAAAGCTTTCAAAAAAGATAAACAACTGAATAAAGCAACAGTTGGAGATATTACTATACTTACAAGGTAGGACCTTATTTGTACGAAGCCAATGTCGCAGTACACAATGTCACAGTACAACCGTTGCCATCTCATGGAAGAGTCACAACATGTAGTGGGAAAATGTCCTACCTGCAACTCAAATCAGTCTACACAGATTTGACCTCTCAGGCAGGGATTACATTGCAGTGCTTGACATAGATGGGGGGAAGGGGTGTCTAGAAGCACTAACGCCATTCTGAAGAGCTAGGGCAGGAGAGGTGTCAGACAGGTAAAGCTCGGGAAACAGTAAAAGACAGCATCACCAAAGGACAAGACTTTAGTGTGGTACAGGTAGATGGGCTCTTCTAGTGGGTCACTCACAGGACCCAGATGAACCGCAATCATCAAAGCCTCTTTAGGTCAATGAGAGACAGCTGCCTACAGAGGGCAGAACCTGGACAGACAGCCAGAGGGCTGGGCTCTAGCACCGTGGCTTCACTTCCTGTGGGAACTTGGACAAGTCATTTCACCTCTCTTTGAGTCTCAGTTTCCAAAGAGCCTGGGGATGAACCCAAGGCCCTTGCATTTTGGGAAAGCAATGACCTTTTGCTGAGCTTCGTGGCACTGCAGAAAAATGTTTTCTGCTGTTAAAAAGGTACAGTGCAGGGCCGGCCGAGTGGCGCGTTGGTTAAGAGTTGGCTTGGGACGCCAGCTCCGAGCAGCAGGGCTCCGGTTCGGATCCCACATTAGGGCCAGTGACGCTGCACACTCTGTGGCTAGGATGGTGAACAGCGGCTCAACCTGGAGCTTGGCTGCCGTGGGTCGCCGGCGACGGCATGGGCTGCGGTGGAGCTGCGGTGGGCTGCCGTGGGCTACTGTGAGTGGCTGGCAGCCAGCATGAGCTGTCGAGAGCCGCGTGAGCAGTGTTCCAGTGGCTGGTGACCGATCTGCCTCACCCAGGAAGAGTGCAATGATAATACCAACATGGGCCAGTGGAGCGATGTCCTCCACAGCTAGACTGAGGAACAGAAGGACAACAACTTCTCTGTTCCCCTTCCCAGATTCTCCAATGCTGTTCCCAGCCCCCCAATTCCCCCAATAAAATCTTTAAAAAAAGAGATATAGTGCAATCTTCCTTGTTCTTGACCTGCAGCAATGCAGAGGTGGGTGTTTCACCCTAATCTTCAACCTGATTACAACCTGCCTCAAGACAGATTTGGAGATACCAGTCAGATTATCTCTGAAACAAAACCACAGGAAGAATCTCTAGTGTGAATGTTAATCTCACCCCCAAAGGACCCATAAACATTTTGCATATTGTGTGTATATACAACCATTAATGTGGTAATGTTCACAAAAGTAAGCAGCTCTACTCTAGTAGGGAAACTCTAGCAAGTCACAGTTTTCCACATAAATCTCTTTTATTTATGTAACTAGCAAGATAATCCTTGAAAAGTGTGTTATGCACCTTATGTCCTATCAGATGAGATGGTCACTCATCTAAAACATTCACTATTATTCTGAAAGTGAAAATTCAGTGTCTGTCAGGCATGTAGACCATCCTTTGCCAATTCCAGACCCAGTTAAATGCCATGGGTTCTGGACCCAGAACCCCATAGGTTTCAAGGTCCATTTATATTGACAGTACACAATTTTCTGGTTCAAAAAACAAGTCTTTAAAGATCTCGTAAAACTTCTTGGACTTCAGATGGTTTTTACAAAACAATACTCAGATGAGCTAAGTGTAAATGAATCAGAAAAGTGGATTATGTTTCCCATAAAAACTCATGGATCTGAGGATTAGAGGAAGAAAGGAAGGTTGGCAAATGCCATTTTAAAGCACTCTGAAACCATTAGTCAAACTTAAAATGCAGCCAGTTTCCCTCATCCTTACACTTCATGAGTTTTGTAATTGAAAATCTTTTCCTACATCTCAGATCAGCTACAAATCAAATATAGTGGCTGCCTGAGATCAGAACTGCTTCCACCCATGTTTTCTTCCAGCCTAGGATTTCATGGGGTTCCTTTTAGTTCCCTTCCAGGTTCATCAAGGAATGCTTAGAAAGAAAAAAGGGGGGAGAGTAGGGAAAGAGAGAAACAGGAAGTCAGTTAAGTTGTGGCTAAAAGGAAGACAAAAAAGGAGAGTGAGAGCAAGAGAGAGATTGAAGAATGGAAATGAAAGAGAGAAGGGGGCCTCTGGGTGGCTCCGGCAACCATGGCCTTCACCTTGTACTTGCTGCTGCAGGGGTCCCTGCTCTATGTCAGTGCCATCGCCACACCGCAGGAGGAGCGCTTCCTCAAGAACACTGGCTGGGTGGGGAACAGACCAAGGAATTGGCAGATTTGGATTCGGAAAGGAGCCAGGAATTAAGTCTCAGCTGATGAACCTTATTTGATCTGGAACAACCATGATGAGACTGCCTTTGATAACAGTAAACTCAATTGCAATTGTATTACTTTTACTATTTGGGTGAAGATCAATGGGGGAAATAGAGACTCAGAAGACATGCCAGCAGAAGTTATTGCTTCAGTCTTTATTGGAATATCCATATTTTAGCTGTCTGTCCTTGGACTTCACAAAAAATATAAACCTCACCATAAAACCAGAGTCCCTATTGATCTGATGTTTTTCAATGTTTCACTTAATAATTTCATTATAAAAAGACCAGATCATCAGAGGCTGTAACTATCCAGGACTGGAATACATTTGACTATTAACTGTTAATAAAAGTTCATACTATGATAAGGATTGTTAAAAGGGTAGAAGACTGTCTCTTATGTGTTTTAGAGCTTTTTCTCTCTCATTTCTTAGGCATGAATTTTTTTTTCAAAGTTTTGAATATCCTTGTGATTTAGCTATGATGTGAAAGTAATTATCCCCCTAGATAAAA